GCAGAGGGGTGATGGAATGGTGCCCTGCGGGGACGGGCTGCAGCTTGGCACGGTCAGGAGAGGGAAAGGGGGACGTTCTTAACAGCGCGGTGAACTGAAAGGGCCCGCAGGCTCGCGGGAGGGGTCGTGCAGCGCGCAGGAGCAGCCCTCACGGAGTGGGCGCCCAGAAATGGCCGATGGACCCCGCTGCTCGCTCCAGCGCAGGGCTGGTCCTGGCCAGGGCTGTCTGCGAGGGCGTGTGTGCAAACACCTGAACCCCTCGGCCCAGCGCGCCCGGGTTACCTCGGGCGAGGCAGGGAAGGGGAAGCCGAGGGCAGCTCCAACGCCCTTCGCTGCGGCTGCGACAGGATCGCAGTTAAAAAGGAAAAACACAACAAAAAAAACTAAAAAAAGCGCAGCTGGGGCAGGGCTTGGTGCTCCCAGGAGACTCTCCAGCCCCAGTGTCTGGGGAATAAAATTTGAGACTTAGAAACGTCGACGATATTTTCTGTCTGGGGTGAACATCCCCAGACTTACATCTTCAGCGGAGCAGCTCAGCTGTCGGGCTCTGAAGTGCGTCGGCAAGCAGCAAGGGAGAAGAACAGAGGGAAGCGCAGCTTTGGGCGGTGCAGATCCCGTAACTGCTTTTGATTTGAGGTCTCCAGCGTCCCTGAGGTAGCTATAAAGCAGGCTTGCAGGGAGGATTTTCGCCAAAATAGCAGGGTTGCTGTAGAAGCAGTCAGAACTCTGTTTGTTTATAGTAGAAAGAAAGGTCCGAATAAACTTCTGAGTTTAAAAACATTTATTTAACGTGAGTATTCATACTTGACAAATGTACAAGTCTCAGAGGGTTTAGCAAATGAAACAAAAATTTAATAAACAATGATTACATCTTCAGGGCTTGCTTTTATACAGTATTTACGTTTTCCTAGTTACACCACCGCATACGAAGGCTGAAGGAAGTGCCTGGTTTTGGGTTTCGGTGGTGCCATAATCCCCAGCTTTCCAGCAGCTCCTTGTGTGGCACCAAGGCTGTACGATGCTGAACTGGAGCCCGAGGATGCTGGAGCCTTCGAGCTAGGTGGCCTTCTGTTCCTTCTGTACCTGCTGTAGCCACTGCAAAATTCAGGGAGAAGGTTTGGGAGTCAAACAGCTCCTTTACTTGCCCCAGTCCCTGCACCCGTGGTCTACCTGCATATACACCACCGTTAGATTGTCTAGAAGACTACGCTTTCATTTGTAAATTTTTTTTTTCTTTTAATTTAAATACACATGGCTGCAAAAACACCTTTGAAATGTAAATCAAGTGCAGCTGCTGCTCTGGCATTTGCCTAAGGGCAAGCAGCAGCCTGAAACAGGGACAAAGAATGCTGAACCAACCTGACTCCTATTAATCCAATTAGAGTATCAACATTAAGTGACACTTGGGGGTCAACAGCATTTAATGACTAATATTTTAGTAGATGGGAAGGTGAAAAGGGTGGGAGCAAAACCTACTGAGCTGGGAACTGCTGTTTGCTACAAAAACCAAAGGCCAGAATGAGGAAAAACAGGGCAGAGAAGCAGACGCCCGTGGGAAGGACAGTGGCAGAAAGCAATGAGTTTCAGCGAGGCAGACCCTGTTTTCTCTTTGATGATGAACGCAGTATCAAAGCAGTAAAGGGTAAGTAGTTAATATAGCAATAAAACCGAACAGTCTTTAAAATTTAGGCATGGCCCTTCAGGTGGGGAATTACAGAATGTTGTGGAGCACGTTAGTCCCATTCAGAGCTGCTCCTGTGACTGGCCTGAACTCCCCCCAGCTGACAGTGATGCAGTTTCTGTGACACAGGTGGCCTCAATAAAACCCCATGCAAAGCATGATTTCAGAAATGCAAGACGTAGGTTGTCCACATAACTGCTCTTCTGAACCTCATGTTCTCTCTCTCTCATATACCAAACGAGGGAAAATGTCGAGGCTGAGGGGTCAGGTAGCCTGACCACAGCACGGGGAACTTGAGCACCTTTTTGTGCAAGGCCAGCTCTGAGCACAGCAGACCTTTAAAAGGCATGACTATAAACCCCAATTAAGAACTAAACTGCTCAAGTTTTCTAATGTGTGTCCCCCCGAGGGCAGAATTTCTCCAACCGTTCCTCCTTTCTTGTTCGTTCCCTTTCAGCACCGATTCATCACCCCGTTTTGAGCACGGACTTGCAGCACCAACTGCTACTACTGGAGTTACCAGACTAATAACTACATGAACCGCTAAAACAAGGTCCTCGACTCAAATGATGAGGCCCAGCCTGGCTCCTTCATCGCCCTGTGATGGTTTGGTGGTGGATCTGCCCTAGAAGCTCTGGACGAACCGGACTCCTGGGTCCCAACGTTACACTCTTGATGCAGGTGTTGCCTCATGTGGTACAGTCAGAGGGAGAACTTGAATTAACAAGGGACTGGGAACTGAAGTTCAAATCTTACATCGAACCTTCAAAGTTTTAACCCCTCCCTGTGTTTCCAAGCACAGAATCCGGTCAGCCTGCTAATAACGGTTACGGCAGCGCGCTGAAATTTAGAGTCGCTTGTGGCAGTCAGGAGTGAGACACAAAGGACAACTGTGAAATAACCTTCCTCACCAGGAGCTTCTTAAACAAGAAATGCTAGAAAACCAGAAGTAGAGCAGTTGTTACCCGGATAATTTCAATGCTATTCTTAAAGCCCATTCTTACTCAAGATGCAGTAGGGCAACAGTGCAGTTTGGGGATCATCACCGTGCTATTCTGGGCAAAGACAGTGACCACAACGTACCCTTTGGGATGAAACGGCTGGCTGCCCCCATGACTTGTCTTTTTCCTCTTTGATTCTCTGAAGTTTGGCGGCCTTTTCCTTTTCCTCCTTTGGTTCGCATTATTGCAGAAATAGCTCGAGGTCGTAACCACATCTTCTGCCTCTGCATCGCTCTCGGGCGTGGCAGTGCTTCCTGCAGCCGTGTCCACACTTTGGCAGGCAGCGTCCTCTACAGACAGACAGCGAGTTAAACCCAACGAAATCAAGATATTGCCAGCCAGAATTGTCAGCCAGAAAGCATCGACTGTCCTTGCTGTTCAAAGCATCCTTCGTGCTGCCTTCAGCCTGGGGGTGCTCCAGGTGTTCCGCAGGGCGGTGCAGAGCGAGGACAGAAGGCGGTTTTAGTTGATCTCGTGATGTAGAAGAATACTGGCCAGGCCTATTTTCTCAAGCTTGGCTTCTTGTCTAAACTATTTTGGTAACACTGGGCTTTCTGCCTCTACACTGTCTTCCCCACGTCAGCTGGAAAGCGTTATGGAATATACCGCGAATACGACAGTCACACGTGGCACTTGTTTTCAAAGACAGCACCAGGAGACGCTGGAAGGCTCAGAGCAGAGGGCTCCTTCCCAATCAGCGTCGGCCAAGAGGGATGTGATCCTTCGCACAGGCAGTACAGTAAAATACCCACAACCCAGGTTTGTAGCCGTGCATTTATTCATGTTGCAGCGTACTAAGCACAGCCTCAAACGTAAACACGGGTCCCTTAAGAACTCCAGGCCCCAATGTCTAATCCGCTAGCCAAACTGTATTAAATACTCTAATTGCAGCACAGGCTACATGCTACGCTCCTGTGAAGTTGCCAGATTGACTCGTCTCAGGGCTCAGTTCTCCACTGAGCTGAACTTTGTATGTCAGGTTAGAGGTGGTAAAACACGGCCCTTCTGACCCACCAGCTTTTCTTGCACCTCGCTTCGAAAGCTCGTCACATTTGCGCACGGGCTAGTCAGTGAAGACCTGAACTTGCTGACCTCAATTACGATGAAAAATAAAAGGTAGTAGTTATGGATTATCCGGCAGGCTACAAGGTTAGCCCACACATAGTGGATGCAGGTGGAATAATACGGAGAAGCTGCGAGACCTTTAACCTTAGGGTCAGGATTCTCATTATAACTAAGCATATTGTGTAAATCCCGGCAACTAACAGGTGAGGCGCAGAGCAGTCTGCTTGTTCTCGTTTCCTCTCTTAGCCTTTCAGAAATACGCTGGATTCTACTAGTGAGAAGATAATTGTTCACCGTGGGGGTGGTGAGGCCCCAGCACAGGCTGCCCAGGGCAGCTGGAGCTGCCCCCTCCCTGGCAGGGCTCAAGGCCAGGCTGGATGGGGCTGGGAGCGACCTGCTCTGGTGGGAGGTGTCCCTGCCCAGGGCAGGGGGTTGGATCAGATGATTTTTAAGGTCTCTTTCGACCCAAACCCTTCTGTGATTCTATGATAGCAACAACCTTTGTAAGTTCTGAAAATATGCAATTGCTCCCTTTTGGTAGTTATTAAACTGCAAGAATTAGTTATTTTTATCTAAAACCAGGTAACTTTTGAGTGAAACTTCTGATAGAGGAGGAGAGAACGGTATTAAACAGGGAAGTACACATTTAGGTACAAAGCATACCACACCTGGAGTGGTCCACTCGGAGTACTTATCCATCACTTTAATTATTTCTGCACCATATTTTTCCAGTTTGTCTTCTGTGACACCATCAATCTGCAGTAAAACCTCCGCATCAGACGACAGGGTTTCTGTAACGTAACAAAGCACCAATTGATGCGTCAAACAAACTGACTTCTTTTAAAGAGAGATCATGGTAGAGTGTTCTGGGGGAAATCAATTCCTTTGAGTGCCACCCTGTGCATTCAGTCCTTCAGGAAGCAAGCCTTTATTCTAGCAGATCTGCTTCTAGTTGGTTAGCACGAAAATTAGTCTAAAAGTTTTCTCTGAAAATGGTTCGAAGTTTGCTTTGCAGTGTGATGACTGGGGTGGCCCCTGTACTTATCCAGCGGGACTGCTACGGCACAAACCGCAGCTCCGAGACACCTACGCTGGGTCAGCTACTTCCACAGGAGTCGCTCGGTTACGTACGCTTAAACCTGATCCCCCTGGACGTTAGAAACGAGATTTTCTGTCAAAAAGGCTACAATTGCACACGCAGTCTGCTGCCGACAGGGGCTCCGAGGAACGAAAGGCTGACCTTACCTGCTATTTTCTTCAGAGTTGAAGTACTGAAAATATTGAAGTAATGCACATCAAAGACTTTCCCCAGCATTTTGCACGTGTCTGTCAGTTCCCCAAGGCACTTTTTGACCATCTCTTCCCGCTGTGACATCTTTGCCAAGGAAGCCCTTTGCTTTCTGATGGCACTGGCACTTTCTGTTTCGTGAAACTCCACCTGTTAAAATAAGCCAGTCAGTAAGTCCTGTCAGGGGAGTTCCTGCAGAGCCATCGTGACAAGATGGATTTGATAACACAGGAAAACAGTGAAGGAAACCGAAAGTACTCTTTGATGGACCAAAAAAAGCTATTTACCGGCATACGCTTTTTAAATTTTTTTTTTTTTTTAAATAACAGGCTACTCAACAGCCCCAAACTTCCTGCTGCAGAGAACCAGCCGAGCACACACAGCACAGGGGAGAAAGCCCGAGAACCCAATGCACCGCTCGCTTGAAACAGAGGTCACTAGGTCTAATGCTGAGGGCTCTCCCCTTCTCCAAACACAACGCTAATGCAGAGGAGGCATTGCCTGAAGCAGCTCTGGGACTGGTGCCATGACCTTCCTGAAGGGCATTTTCCATCAGAGCTCACCAGTGACTGGCAAAAAAATAGAGCAGAAAACGCAGGAGAAGGTAGCGCTGTTCCCTCCTTCCTCCTCAGCTAGCTCTTTCTGGGTTGGCCATCTGGAATCAGATAGACAGGGGAGAAGAGAAGGCTATAATCCTCCCCAGTCCTCTCAACTCACCTTTTGCCTCACACCACTACTGCTAGGATACTGGACTAGAAATCATGCTGGTTGGATCCTGTTCCCTGCACCCGCTAAAGCTCAGCTCCTGTACTGCACCTGGTAGGCAAACGGCGTTTACGCTCTCCCAGGGCATATATAAAAACCGTAGCACGTGCCTTAAAACAGTGCGGTCGAGACAAAAAATCAGAGCGTGACGAACCCGTAGTGATCCATCCAGCACAGCCTGAGCCTTCTCCCCGAGAACGATGTACGCTACCGCTTGGTCGTTAGCTGTGATGTACAAGTCTTCATCCAGAATCTTGTCCAAGACCAGCTTTCGAAACAGCCTTTCGACATTATGCCTCGAGTAGGCAGCTCCCTTCCCAAATATTCCAGACTGAATCTTCGCACTCGCTTTACCTGTGCGCCAGAAATCACAGGATCAGCCTGCGACGAGACAGCTCACGTACGTGCAGACCCGTGGCAGATTCCCAGGGCTGCTCCACCGTCGATGCGCATAAAAGGAACGCACTTAAGTGCCAGAAACTCCGAGCACCACCAGAAAACTAATATTATCACTATAGCAACCTGAAACGGATTAAAGCTTTAGTCTCATTTTTTTTTGGATCATTTACTACCACGAGATTCCTGCGAAGAATAATTTTGCAAAATACAGCTTCTGGTGTTGCGCAGACCTCCCGTCACGCACTCGGGCATTTACGCCCCAAGCCTCCCGAGGCGTTGTTTCTGGAGGAGCAGGACTCACCTAAGAAAATGTCCACCATCATATTCAGCGTGTATCTTCCAGCACCTGTATTTCTCTTCGCATTTGTCCGTCCCATTTGCCCGCAGTGCTCTCGTACAAATCTTACAATGCTCTTCACTTCCTCCGTGACATCCCTCGATCGGTAATCCTAGCAAGAGAGACTTGATTAGGCACGCACGTTACGTGGTTCTGCCCTAATGCAAGTTGGGACCGAAACCCCTGGTTTTCATTATTGAGCTGTTTCCAGTCATGAATTCATGTTGTTCCCAGCAGAGGAACAGTGATTTTCTCGTTAGTACCTGATATGATACAGTCACAGGAATTCTGGACTGGAAAATACTGTGGAAAACGCAGTAATCCAGACCAATTGACGGTACATGGTCTCTGCTGTGTTGATTCCATAGTGAGCCGCAAGACTGCTGCGTGAACGCTGGGAATCGAGGTAAACCATGCCGAAAGCATGCCCGTAATCCTACTGCCGTGCACTGGAACTTACGCTACCAGTAAGCATTAAAGTGAGCAGACTGGACTGAATGTGTATTATTCTAGTCAAATTTTATTACATAGCTGTTCCAGTGGATCTTGAATTAGCTCCTGCCTCCTGTAAGCACTGCAGCCAAAAAAAACGCCGATACAAAGGAACATCCTGATGCCTCACTAGTCCTCCTCTGGCAGAGAGAGGAGCATCACAAGTCCATGGGCAGTCTGTGTAATTCCACTCTAGGTTAAACCCTGGAAATAACTTGAAGCAGCTGTCATCACAAAAATACAGGACATCTTATTTTCTCCATTTGCCTTCCCAAACACCATGTAGCCATTTTTTAATGCAGCTAAATGCAAAACCAGTTTAACACCGCCATAAGACGGACCCATGAGTTTTACCTTCGTCCTGCTGCAGTTATCGCAAATTGCTTCTGGGTGGTCCTTACAGAAGGTGGGATTAAAGTCAGTTTCCCCAAAGTAGGCCAAAAGCTGAATTCTCCGGCAATCGACGACGTTCTCGCAGTAGTGAACCATACTGTACAGGTTGTTGAAGTGGGTCTGTCTCGTGTGACTGTTCCCATCCTTCTCCACTGAAACGCAACGAGTTCGACTGCATTTGTTAAATCTGCACCTCTGCATTTTCATATATTATCAGACAGACAAAACACAATATTCTTTTTTGCTTAACAAAAGATGAGGAGGTTAGTACAGGACTAACCTGGGACAGATTTTACCTCTCAAGTTTTAAAGAATGGAGATGGGAAATAAGACGAGCACGACGAGAATCAAGAGATGGATATGTCTGAAGCAAAATGTTTTTGACTAACGTTAAGTACGAGTGACCAAAAGCTTCCATTACAGAAAACCACTGGGGTAAAGACGCCGTCCCCCCATCTGTGCCACGCCAGACTGTACACGGCACGGGAATGTTACGCAGCCTAAACGGAGCAGAGACCAGCGACTAAGGGACTTCCTCGGCACTGTCTCCATCAGGTACAAACGTGACAACTCACTCAGTATCAGCCTTCTGAGTCTGGTCACGTCACTGTAGCTGTAGAAGAGCAGACAGTGAGACATTTCACCGTCTCGCCCAGCTCGGCCAGACTCCTGGTAGTAACCTTCGATGGATTTAGGGAGGGAGGCATGGATAACGTAGCGGACGTCGGGTTTATCAATCCCCATTCCGAAGGCGATGGTTGCACATATAACCTGGGGAGGAGGGAACGACTCGTTACGCAGAGTTACGAAGTGACTCACGCAGCACCCTGCACCGAGAGCAGCCAGGATTACGCAGCTGCAGAGCCTTGGGTTTCAGCCGCAACGCTGCGAGAGCACAGAACCGTCTCTCCTGTCAGAAGGGCTGTTCCAGGCCAAGGGCAGACTCCAAACCTGAGCCTCGACACACAACTCGCCTAGAGCTGGTTCAGAAGCCCCACGCTGCCGCGTCCCTTCCTCCTGGCGTGTCACACCTCAGCCTGTAAAGCTCCCGGTGAGGAGACGCCAACGCGCTTCGGCGGATCGGTCCGGATCGGGTGTTTAACCCTGCGCCCGACCGGGCAGCAACGGTACACGACTTCGCTTTCATTTACTAGGCCCAGGGGGACAAAAGTGCTCTAAATTCTCTTCACTTTCTTCCCCGGGTTGCTTTTCTCTCACCTGGCATCCTTCCTGATTAATCCACTTCTTTTGTACGAGGTCTCTGTTGGAGTCGGTGAGGCCAGCGTGATAGGCGAGCGCTGCGAGACCCTCCTTCTGCAGGATGGCCGCCGTCGTGTCGCATTCGTGGCGCGAAAGGCAATAAATGATCCCAGAGTCATCTGCAAATACATAAGAAAGATTTGTGCTGCAGTGCAGCTTTATTCCCTTGCGCTTGCCTAACAGCCGTACCGGTCAAGCAAACATTCACCCCAACAGGGAGATGCTGGTAAATGTAATGCAATAACTGCTTAACAACAAAGAAAAGTACTTTTATTAATATCAGATATTAATATTTTTTCCTCACCCAATTTCCTGCTTTTTTGGCGAGGTGGAGGCAAGAAAAGTTTTCCTGCTCAGCACTGTGCCATCTTAGGAGTTAACACACACGAATAAAGAACTCTCCAACTCGAGAGCCAGAGCAGCCTGCTCAGCAGCACAGCAGGTCACAGCACTGGAGAAGCTCTGACGGGAGCCTGCTGTAGCCAGCTTCCGGCAGCAGGAGCTGCAGGACTGCAAAAGCAAGCCCAGGGAGATGGGAATCTCTGAAGATCTCTTCAAGAGGAACCACAGACAGGCAGACCAACAGAACTAAACCATCAAAACAGTACAGATGCCAGATGACCTTCATACTCTGAAGACACGATGCTAAAAGGTCTGGCAACCCCCACAAACATCACCCAAGAGCATCACCATAATTTACTTTTCCACCTTCACTTGAACTCTTAAAAATGCCCATAAGTCTGATTCCCACTATCAGTAACATCATTTTGCTTCCAACTTGTTCTTCTTGTAAATGTACTAGTCACTTGGAGAAAAGCCCGAGTTTGGGGTCTTGTACAGCGTTATAAAACCCTTTCCTGCCTTAAAGAGCAGCTCAAAAACGCATGCAGCCACACTGGGCTGCTCTGTACTCACGCGGATGGTATTTTTTAATCCATTCCAAGCAATCCATTGCCACCTTCTTGGGCTTCTTGGGCAACACATCATATTTCAAGTTATGCCTGTTGAAGCTCATTGTAAACCTAAAACAAGACAGTTCATGGGTGCTCGTCAGCGTCATGGGTGCAGCAATCCTTTCGGCCAGCTGGTATCGACTGGAATGTCCCCGACCCCACGAACTGCCTCTTGGCCTGCACTGTCCGAACTACTGTGCCACTACGCCCACGGAAGCTCGCACCACCCACGCTCTGGGTCTAAACGTGCATTTCTCCTCTGGCTGTGAAAAACCAAACCTACACGGCACTGTATTTTTCCACAGTGCACAATGAGCACCCTACAATATGATCCGGGCCCAATGGTACCTCATTCCTGCCAATGCTAATTAAAAACCACTTCCAGCTTTCGCAGTTTTCCAGCAGTCTCCCAAAAAGCACCCTGAAATACAACTTGCACAGCTTATCAGTGACATAGAAAATTTGGTGATGTTATTTTTTATTAAACAGCTTCCTTAATCGTGCAAGGAAGAGCCTGGCCAGTTTTTTTCTCCTTACTCTGAACAGCTCACGCTACCCGAGGATGCACGCACGGAATTTAACCGGACACAACTGCCCAGGGGTTTCAGATGGAGCTGTAATGCTTTTCTTTCTTTACTAAGTTTTCCACTCGAAATTTCTGTGGCACAAACCAATGGTTTCAGGAAACTGCTGAGCAACTTACACTTGTGGTTTCAGCATCTCAAGCTGGTTCTGAATATCCTTCTGTACCCGGGGGTTAGCAGTGGCAGTAAGAGCCATCATAGGAACCGCGTGGAACTTCCTGCGGAGCATATTCAGTCGTTTGTAGTCTTGTCGGAAATCGTGACCCCACTGGTTTAAAAACAAAATTGAAGTATAACCGAGTAAGATGCTCCAACGGAGTCTTTGGCCGTTTTGAAAACCAATCAAGGGCTCTACCTGGCTGACGCAGTGGGCCTCATCGATGACAAAACGCGCCAGAAGCCTCCTGTCGTAGAGATTTTCCAGGGCTGACATCAGCCGGCCGCTTGCACAAACCTAGGGACACATCCACCCGGGGCGTTAGAAAGCGAACCGAGAGCGCGAGCGGTCACCGCGCCGCGCCGCGCACACAGAAACAAGGGTTCCGTGCAGCAAAGTTAATTGGGACTGAAGGCATAGAGGAGATGGCCATCAGCTTCATCTCCATTGACAGCCAGGCAGCTGGTGTGGGACTACTGCCAGGAGGCAGGATCCGCCATCCAGAGGTCCTACAGTCGGAGTCAATTTAAATGACTTATGCCACGGAAGACAGGGAGAGCCGATGCTGAAGAAACATAATCAGGGCACTAAACAGGCTCCTCTTACAAAGCTCTTGTGGAAGAACATCATTTTTAAGGCAGCCTGTAATTAAGTACCAGGGAATCTTTTGACAATCACATATTACCTTGACAGCTACATGTTTTTTCCCTGTATTATCCTATTCATAGCAGTCTCGATTCTAATAGCTACTTGACAGCAATTAGCCACGAACATGTAGTAAGGGATATTGAAACAGATGGGTACGGGGGTTTGTTTTAAGAATTTAGATTGTATAGACATGCTCAGTTCTCCTTCTTGGTTAATTACTGACTGAAGTTAGTTACAGCTGTACAGAGCCTTACTGAATTATCTAAGAATGTTTATTTTTCCCCCTCAGAAGCCTCCTCTACGTTCAGCGTTTCCCCTCTAACACTTCATAGTAATCCATTCTCTTGTTGCCTCCATGATTTTACAATTCAAATTAAATACAAACCTTCTCAGGGGTAACATACAGAAGCTTTATTACAGGATCTTTTTTTGACAATTGCATATATATTTTGGAAGCGTCAGCATCTGTTCTGTCACCAGTCAGGTACGTTGCAGCAATCTATATTAAAAAAATATGAAGTTTTAATATAAATAAACAGAAGAACCTCCAAGAACCGAGTCCTACCTCTAGTTACAAACCAGATTAAAAAGTGTATGCATTCACTGTCCTCAATGAACAACCTTTCAATACTTCTTTGTGTAACTGTCAATAGCATTTGAACCCTCGCTGTACTGTGGACATCATGGAATTTCTCTAACGATAAACCCAAAAGACTGTAAGCCAAATTCTATTAATCTGCTCCCAATTCTACCAGCAGACCAACAGCTGACTTAGGGGATTCATCTGCTTTCTTTGAACTCCCTTTCCAATAGACAAAACAGATGAGATGTTTGTTTATTGATCAATAGGCTCTAAGTTTGAGACTGAGTTTGGAAAACAGAGATCTTAAGGCAAGAAACAAAGTTTCCAGGAAGCACAAAACAGGACAACAGCCTCAATAACAGCGCCCACAAACACGGAACAACATTGCATCAGAAGAGATTAAACACAACTTGGAGCAGCCACTCCATATTCAGTCCGAAAGTCTAACTTACTCTCACGCTGAATAGTAACAAAGGAATTGGATGCAAGTACAAGTCACGCTGACAGAGCCAATTCTCCCTGCTCGTCTCCTCTTCCTCTCGCAAGAGGCAGCTGCAGCTCTGCAGAGGAAATTCCTTCTGCAGCTGCAGATCCCCAGCAGCCACAGAGCCAGCTGAACTGGCTGCTACAACCAAGGCAACCACACTGCGAAGAGCGCGGCCCAAGCGCAGCGCTGAGCAGCGCTCACCGAAGGGCGGCAGCCGCTGGAGGGCCCTGTCCAGTCAGGCTGTCGAAAACGGCACTTGATGAGAGGAGGACTTGTCCGAGCTTCAAACCCCGTCATCGTAGTGCCTTCGGTCTCACACCCCAGAAAATCTCTGTAGTTTTGCCCTAAAACACCTTACCCACCTTTGTTTGCCTGATCTCTCAACCTCAGTGACAGACTGAGGATGAAAGAGACGCTTCCCCGAGGCAAAAGCAGGTCCTAAGTGTCTCGGCCCGAGGAACACACACCTTCTGCACCTGCACTTCTTTTCTCTGTGCATCACTTTCCTAGACATGCTCAGCATCTTTGCAACCCTCCTCGCTCAGGGATTGTTAGTGCTTCTTTCTGCTACCGAGCCAGGCAGCTCCTGTTTAGGTGACCACACTCACAATCTAAGAATTGGGCACCTGGCCTTGACAGCTAAGCTCCAATGACAGATACACAGGAGCATCAGCAAATTCAGCAGTTAGACCACCAACATACTCCAGTTCATCTAATTTAGTTCCTCCCTGACAACTCTGCGTGCCTGTTAACAGTTTCCATCTAATCCATTTTTGCAGTTTATATTTGAGAGACGTAAGATTTCCTGTAAAACTTCAGATTCCCGATTCGCTTACCCGCGGGCTGCCTAAAGCAAGCTGTTTGCACTTACATCTAGAGTCTTCAGTTTCTGAACCTGATCGATTATCAGCGACCTCAGTGGAGAGATAACAATAGTGACTCCCGCAGACACACACGCTGGTAACTGGTAGCACAAGCTTTTACCACCACCTGGAATGACGAAACAGAACACAACAAGCGTTGGATATCAGGAGGAAAGGGAGACAGTGGGGAGATGGAGCAGAAGAGGGGGGACTTATTTCCTACTTGTCATTTTACAGCGCTTTCAGAAACAATAACCCTTCACCAACGGCTGCCTCCAACGCAATCGCTGTAGGAGGAGTTTTCACGTGAAATGCCACGGCAGGCAGAGATTCCGCCGCCTCATTCGGAACACTGCAGCGCGCGCAGCGCCCCAGAAATCCCGCAGCCGCAGAGTTCAGGCAGCGCAATTTATCGCCACCTCCACAAAGGCACAGAGAAAAGAGAAGTCTGCCACGGGCCGTGCAAAAGGGGCTCCAGGTCTTTATTTCTGGAGCGCGTGCCAGACCCCAGAAGCCCGCGGCTGCGCGACGCGGGGGGTACCCACCAGTGGGCATCAAGATGAAGCAGTCTTCACCCAGAAGGGCAGCATTGATGGCCTCCAGCTGATTTGTCCGAAAATAGTGCAAGCCAAACTTTTTGTGAAATATAGTCATCATTTCTTCAGAATGGGAAAACTTCACACCCCTGAAACGTTCCAGTGCGGGGTTAGTAACGGGCAGATCTAGCAGACAGAGAAAAGGCGCCGGCAGTAAGTCACGATACGGGGCTGTGCCACCCCTCCTGCAGCGCCAAGCCCCTTCCCTAGAACAGGCGGCTTAGCCACCACCTCGACCTTTTAAACCCAAGTCATGGCAGGCTAAAAAAACAGCTTTCAGCTGGAATTTAAGGCCAGCTACAGCGTGGGCTGTGACGACAGGCCAATCGCGGGAAACAAGCGTCATAGCCCGACCGTGCAGAGCGCAGCCTGGCACTGGCCAACCTCCCCTCTGTCACACACCACCCCGCTGGCGGGTCCCTAACAGCAGGTGCCAGCTGAAACAGCCCCAGCGAACCCGATGAGACCCGTTACCGTTTTTGCCTCCGCTTTTACCCGCCCACAGATAATACCGACCCACCCCTGGGCCCCGGGGGGATCCGGTTTGCTTCAGCAAGTGCCCATTTTTGAACATTTCACATAAACAGCTAGAACCGTTGTGCAGCTTTGAATTAACAGCTGCAGAAGCATTATTTAATTAAAACAGAAACGTTCTAGTTCCCAATTTGGGCAGCTTCACCTTCCCTGCAGCCAGCAACCTGCACAGCAAAGACACAGTCCAGAAGTTTGGCAACACTTGGAGGAAGAAAAAACCCCAGATGACGACTTTGCAAAGAGAAAACAAAAGAAATCTCCACAGAAACAGAAGGCACAGATGCAATCTGCAGTAAGTTACTTGGCCTCAGGTTTAAAAATAAACAAGAATTGAAAAAGGGAAAGACAGTGATCCTAACGAGCATAATTTACCCGAACGGTTCTTTGCTGCCATCGAGGAGCTTGACTTGGGAGCAGCAGGATTTGGTACCACAGCAGACCCTTTGGCTCTGGACATGATCTTTGACAGCAGCGATTTGGCAGGGGGCCCTTCCCTGACGGGCTGATACAGCGGCGTAGCCGGCGTCTCGGGCACCGAAACCTCCACCGAATTCTCCCAGCCCTCGTCGAAGTCATCCACATCAAAGGGATCGAGGTCGAAGTCTGTATCGTTTATACCCAAACTGTCCTCTGCAGGAACGACCGCGGGAGCTTTGCCCTGCCCTCTCAGAGCTGGGCTCGTAAGGGCCTTCTCCAGCAGAGGACGGTTTCTGCCGTCTCTCACCCCGGGGCTTTCACACCACCCGCTGCCGCGGGGCGTCCCGGCACGGAGGCTGGGGGAAGCTCCCTCCGAGGCCGGCAGCGCCGTGATCTCCTCAACACCTTGCTTTGAAGCAGAAGAGGAATCCACGGGTGGATTTTTTTTGGTAGAAAAATGGCTTGAATTAGCAGTCCCAGAAAGCACGGGCGGGAGGTTTGTGGACGTTGGCGAGTTTCTGTCAGAACCGAAGCTCCAGGTCGGGCCAGAACTGAGAGCGGCGCCAGGGCGCGCGAGAGGGCCCGGCTCCACGCGCGCCTTCCAGCTCCCAGGCAAAGTGCTGCTCGTGCTGCTTCTGCTCCAAGGGACAGAGCTAGCCAGCAATCTTCTCCTGGCAGGGACGGCAAGGGAAGGGAGAAGGAAGGAAAAAAAAAAAACAACCCACCAAATTTAGTCGCAAGCAACGATTTATCAAGTTCTACAACACACATTGAGCAGTTTTGTCTCTCTCCTATTAAAAATATTAACATGTGGTGGTTACATCGTATTCTGTGTCATTATACTTTAAAAATATTCCAAACAAATCTAGGGAAGGGAGAGTATTACCAGAACTCAAATATATTTAAATAATTAAATAATTTAAATTATTTAA